GTTATACATGTAAGAGGGGGAAAAAAAAAACCAAACCCCACAAAACCACCTAGATGCTAAAAGGATATGAATCTAGTAGAGGAAGGCTTAAGAAAAATCAATATCTGGAAGTGGTTTCCATTTCAAATGGCGAATGAGTAAGGAATGGAACAAACTGCCTGTACAAAGTGATAGGTTTTCATATTGTTGTCTTTGCAAACCAGGGCCGGGTGCCTTCCTGGAAGAGATGCTTCAGCCAAATACAGTTAGCACAGGCCAGAGTAAGGGATCTGATGGCCTGTTGCGGTCCTGATCAGCTTGAATCTGTTCTAAAATACTGTATTATTTTAGGCCCATGAGACATAGGAAGTTTCACAGGAATTCCTCAGCAGAGCTGGGAATTGATCACAGATCTGTAGAGTCTCAGGTCAGTATCTTGGTTCCTTTTTATACATTTAAGTAACACCTTTTTTGTTGTGTTTTGAGTATATATCAGTGTTGTCAGAACACGTGATCACAGAAGAAAGGCATGCAGGTAGCTAAGGACGGTTCAGCCTGCAGTTATCTCAGTAAACACTAGTGCAAGGGCAAATGTGTTCCTGATGTTATAACCGTGGCAGAATGGCTAAAAGGAAATGAAATAATAATTTTGTAGAGGAGTTGGATGTCAGATTCCTTGTGATTTGTCAGTTGGAATAGTTAAAACCTAAAGTTAAGATAATAGCTTATTAATATGTCAGGGTTGATTCCAAAAAGCCATGCTGCTGAGCAGCAAGCCAGTTGATCAGCCAGTAAATAATTCTGTGCTTTGTACACAGTTACGTGATGAGAAATACATTTCTGATGCTTGAAGAGCTCCTGGCTACGAAGAAGAGTGGGGAACAGCAAGAGTAATGGTCTGCACTGGCGAACTGCTATAGCTTACTCAGCTCTATGAAGAGACTTTTGGGCTTACTTTTAAGTGATTTATTACAGTAGTAGGAATGTGGTTGCGGCCATGATGGTGTAAGGATGTAAGTGAAGAAAGATTTGCAAGGGCAGGATAATATCGGTTGGTTTAATAGAAGCTGTATTTGTAAAACCGAACAAGCTTTTGGGTACACTCCAGGCTTGACTTTCATGTCTCTACAGGTTTCAGCAGCAGTGTTCTGGATGTGTTAACCTGCTGCACCTCAAATCTTAGTGTGATGGGAAAAGTGTAGTTGATACTAACATAATAGCTAGCTTTAGGAAGCTCTTTATCTTAATGCACGGTGGGCAGAAAGGATTCTAGAGACAGCTCGCTTTTTCAGTTTTGTAGTAAGTACTTCGGGTGTATCTGCTTTGCTTTTATGAGGTACTGAAGGTGTGTCTATATATGTATGTACACGGCTGTATTCGGAGATTAATCCTGAGGTAGTCAGCCTTGCCTGACAAAGTTGTGGTTAATTCTGAGTGCATTTGGCAGCAGTTCCTTAACAGGAGCAGTTCAGTGCTGCAGTCTGTGCTGTAGCTGCTGCTTCCAGAGATTCCTGGTTATTGTTTTTTAATTACACTAGCTTTTCCTTCAGTACATATGTGGGTTTTTTCTTCATCATTCTGAATAAAGTATAGTCACCCTCTTTTACCAGACAGCTTCTTGCACTGCACTTGTCTTCCCCTGTAGATTCCTATATTGAAGGCAAACAGGCATTCCTCAAGTAATGGCAGTATAGTTTTTAACCCGTGACAACCATCTTCCAGACTCTTTTTCATGTTGCTTCAGTGGAAGCTTTTATGTGGCACTCCTGCAGTTCTCTGTGTATATGTATCTTCTCCCCCCACCCCCCCTTTGGTTTAGTCTGTATTTATGTTAAAATGGTGGCTAAAAAGAAAGAAAAATATAGCATATGGACAGCATTAAAATATACTAACCTTTATTTGCTGCTAGCTGCCAAGGTTTTGAGAAGTCCTTGCTAACCAGTGGAAGTGTCTCTGTAAACTTCTTAGACGCTTAAACATGTGAGGGGAAAAAACCTTATGATTATCCTGTTTGTACTGGCTATAGAGATACTGATATATGAAGTTCATGTATCTGAACTTAAGTCCTTTAATAAAAAAATGGCATTTTACTGTTTTGATTTCCTGAAAAATTGGTGTGGGTAAGGTAAAAGTTGTAAATATTTTCAGTGTGGTTGGCACTGAAATTGGGAGATGATCTCAGGAGCTGGTGAGACTCTTTAAAAGATACTTGGTTTCTTATTGTTAAGCATGAAATAGGTGCAGCAGCTGCCCTAATTTAGGTGGTTCTTGGCTAGTAAAGGGTACCCTTTCTCTTCTTTGTACCTTTTTGCTTAAGTATGTTGAGGGATGAATCCATTTAAGTGCTATGCTTAGTGTGGCATTATAAAAGAAAACTTGCAATCTGTAAGCTTAATTTCAGCAGCCTAATAGCTTACCTCCGTAAGTACTTATTAGGGTGTACCCTGTTTGGGTATTTTTTCTCAGCAGGTCGTTTCTAAGCTGTGACCCTAAAATATACCTCTGTGCTGGAAATAACACTTCATATTACTTATTTTTTCAGTGTAGATAGACCTTGATGCAATTTGCTGAGTGTTTTCTTTTAATGTGCTCACATCTGGGCATTTGAAGCTGATTAAGTGCAGCACACATCAACAGAATTCATCAATTTTTAAGCAAGCAAATATGCATTTGATCCAAAAGATGTTGCTCTGAGAGTCGATGAACTCTAGTTTTGGCAGAACTGCACAAATCCTGCAGCTAGGAATGCTCTGCTGAACACACTGAACTTTGAGTCCCCAGAAGAGCATGCCAGGAACGGGTTTGGCCGAAGGTATGATGTCAGATTGTGAACCCCTGATATCACAGCAGGAGTAGACATTTGGGAGTGGGGTGTTTGAGCTTGACTGACAACCCAGTGTGAACTTCAGAAGAGATGTTCTAGTGTGCCAGGGTAGAGAGAAACGTTCTCATGAGTGTAGTGGTATTTGGTAGTCACCCGGCATCTCTCATTTGCTCAGCAGGTTGTCTGTGTTTGTATAAATACACAGCAAACTGGACTGCTAAGTCTGATTCTGCTTCTTCTGTGACAGGTGACTTTTGATACAACCAGACATTTTAGTGAAGGAGCCATAAGAGAGAGAAGCCTGGAAAGAATAAAGCTGCAAGAACAGGAGCACGTTCGAAAAAGGGGGAAAAAAAGAGAGGGGGTTGAAAGGTGAGAGTGTATTTTTAGAGAATGTCCCATTTTTGAGATTTGTTATGCTATCTCGTACCAAGTAAAATCCAGGAAGAGTGGCTACTTTAAAAATCGAGGCTTTGAGGAAGCAGGAGCTGGAGAACTTGAAGCAATACTATGTAGTTTTTAATTTACGTGTTACTGTTGGAAAGAAAAGCATCGTGATAATTCTGTGTGTAAGGCATCAGATGGAGGGGTCTGGGTTATGAGAAAGGTTGGACTAGAGACATCCTGAGGTCCCTTTCAGATTTGATTATTCTGTGATTCTGTGGGCCTGGAGTGAAATTGGAGAGCTGTTGCTCTCAAATTGCTCTAAGGCTTGATTGCTTAAGATTCTGCATGTCGGCTTTTTGTATTGCTCTATGCTGCAACATCACAAATTAATGTCTTTATGTCCTGAAGTAAAATTAATGTGACATACATTTCTAGGTGCCTCCCAGTTGACTGGAAGGTCCAAAGCTAGAGATGAACACTTTTCCACCTTTCCCTCTACCCCTTTTTACGTGTTATTTTTTTCATTGTTGTTATCTTCAGGGCAGTGTTCTTAAATTTTGTATATGAGTAATAGTAGTATATTGAAGTTTTAATTCTATAGATAATGTGTTTGGATGGTATCCTAAACTGTCACTAGTAATTAATCATGTTTCACACCTTCATATCTTAAAAAAATGCCAACACTTGAATGTGGAGCATAGCGACTCTAATGCTAGGCCTCTGAAAACATTGCTATGCTTCCATTGTTAATACCTTCTTATTCAAATACTTAAATTAAACACTTATTTGTGTGAACACTTTGTCGAAAGGGTAAAAGTGAGAAAACTTGTGGGTTGAGATAAAGACAGTTTAATAGGGAAAGCAAAAGCCGCACGTGCAAGCAAAGCACAACAAGGCATTCATTCATGCCTTCCCATGGGCAGACAGGTGTTCAGCCATCCCCAGGAAAGCAGGGCTCCATCACACGTAACGGTGACTTGGGAAGACAAACGCCATCACTCCGAACGTCCCCCCCTTCCTCCTTCTTCCCCCAGCTTTATGCTGCTGAGCATGACGTTATATGGTGTGGAATATCCCTTGGGTCAGTTGGGGTCAGCTGTCCCGGCTGTGTCCCCTCCCAACTTCTCGTGCACCCCCAGCCTGCTCGCTGGTGGGGTGGGGTGAGAGGCAGAAAAGGCCTTGACTCTGTGTCAGCACTGCTCAGCAACAACGAAAACACCCCTGTGTTATCAGCACTGTTTCCAGCACAAATCCAAAACACAGCCCCATCCTAGCTACTGTGAAGAAAATTAACTCTGTCCCAGCCAAAACCAGCACACAGCTTCAACTTTCATTTTTAGAACAGTGGAAATAGTCTTGTAATCTCTCTTAAATGGGACTGTCATGATAATCTGGAGTGGAGATTTGTTAATTTAAGAATTAGATCCAAATGATCAGTCTCTAGTTGTGTCCTTGGAGGCAAACGATGATGTGAATCTGTCATCTTGGTAGTGCTTATAAAGAAAACCCTAGAATGCAAACCATTTGAAGAGACAAAGAACTTTCTAAATGTGTGCATCAGTTGGATACGTGTCACCTATGTGCCATGTTTTTTTAAACATGTTATTCTAATGAACAAGATTTCGCATGTGGCTAACAAGAATTCTTGGCAACTGGTTGCTTATTATTAGCACTTCAAAGACTTGCATCCAATTCCCCAGGACTCAAAATGTAAAACAAGTGTCATCTAAATTGTCCCATATTGATAATTACCTAGAAAAAGACGTGGTGATGAAAAGAAGTTCAAGAGAGAAAAAAGAAAGCTAAGCTCGAGAGGAGAGAAGAGAGGCAGATAGATGGAGATGAGAAACATCCCCAAAAGCAGCAGAAGGTACCAGCTGAAGAACAGCAGTGGCCAGAGAATATGCCTGAATGGGAAGAAAGGAAATCCCTGCTAGCTCAGAGAAGAGTGGAGTCTGTCAGACTGCTTACAGTGCTGTTAAACCGTGTGAAAGTAAGACTATTTTAAAACATATTTTAAATTTTGAAGGGTATTTATTAGAGCTTGAATAATTCACTAGACATTTGATGTCTTGATGCTATTCAGAAGGATGCCTTGGGACTGACCAAACACTGAGAAGGCCTGAGGTCTAAGTCTTGTGACAGTCTGCTCTCAGTCTTGCCCTGAGAGCAAAGGTAGTGCGTTTCCACCCAGAAACTTTGCCTTTGATGCTTGTTCGAGGCCTTGTGATTACTGAGTAAAAACAAGACTGGAAGGGCTGTACCAGCTCTATTAGACTTGATCCAGTGCTGCAAACAAGGAGTTTCGGGGCGGGGACACAAATAATGCTATCTCTGCTTGTTTTGATCTCAGGTCTGCAAGTGACACAATTAAATTGACACAGATTATGCCAGTTGCATTTCTAATAGCCTCTCTTTTGTGGCCAATACTAAGCTAGCAGTTTTATTTCAGTTTGATTCAGCTAAGGTCTTGAGAAAGTCAGTAGAGGAGTGATAAAAGTTCCAAGTGTTTTGCACACATTAATGTTTGGAGGTTTATTTCAGTGCTTTGGGCTAAAAAAAAAAAAAAATGGGTTTTCATTTCTCAGGGGTGCGAACATGGCTTTGTCTTCACTATTTGCAAAATAAAAATCTGCTTGCAGCTTTTACCAAGTGTATGTTTTCCACAATCCTTAATGTTAAAGATTTCTAAAGGACTATAATTTACTAAGAGTTGAAGTCAGAGGCTACCCTTGCCATTCTGCATGAATTTTAGGGCCCCATAACGTGTGACATTGGCCTTCTTAATTATGAAGGTGATGTGTTAAATAAACTTCTATTTTCTTGGTTTCACCACGTGGAAAGCTTTAGATTGGTTGTATTTGAACCCCTTTAAAGCAACGTATAACAAAGCAATTTATTCTTAATAAAATATTTGATCTACAAAAGCGTGGTAATTTTACTGTTGCACGCAATACTAGTTGTTGTGATGCTGTGATCAAACAAAGAATAAGTATTTTCTTATGCAGTTCCAGTGAGATAGATGAATTGGTTGAAAGGACCGCTTTCTTTAATTGAGAATGCAGCTTTCTGAGATGATGAAGTATCTCTAGTTCTAACTTAGGAATAGTGAGATTGTACGATCGAGCTCTGAACGAAGCCAAACTTAGCCCTCACCTGTACAATTCTTCTGACTGTGGGACTGCTTGCTTATGAGTTTGCAGTTTAGCACTCTTTATAGCGCTCAATAAATGTACATAATCGTTTTCCTGATTTTTTTTTTTATTTGAAGGATTTTGCACAGTTGGCAAGTCAAAAAGTGGATCCTTCATTGGGCATAAGGAAGGACGATTCCTTTTCTGAAACAGCATTAAAAGACATACATCAGGAATTGATTAACTCCCATTATCATACGCACAAAGAGTTGAAACATAAGGAAGAGTTTAAGTGCCTGTTAACCCCAAAAGGTAGCAGCTTATGTAGTGAGGAAGGAGATGTGAGTAACTTCCGTGCATCCACTTGTCATATAGTCAGGACGATTTTAAATGATCCCGCTATAGCCCCGAGTTCTGATGGACTGCCTGGCAGAGAAGCATACAACTCCTTTGGCTATGGATCTTTACTGATTACAGTTACGCAGGACTGCAGGGTCATCGAATCTCTCGATGGAAGGGACTACCCAACACTGAATGTAGTTCACACGCAGACAGTGTCTGATGAAGACGGTTGCAAAAAGCGGAAGGTTTATGAGACTGATGAATTCATCCATTATTTACTGAACTACTATCAGACACCGCGCTATGCACGTGTTTGCTTAGAGCCAAAACCCACTGTGAACAAGTCCTGGTGGAAGAGAGTGGTGTCTGGTGATGATAGCGATTTTCACATCAGCTTGAGTAACAAACATGGTCAGCACTTCAGAGAAGTGAGTCCTGTACAAAACCTCAACAAGAGAAACTGTAGTAGCGATGATAATTATAGACTGGTGATCACTGTTGGGGAACTTCAGTCGACAGACACAGTGTTAGAAAACAAGACCTGTGGGGGTAGGTTTGCAAAAAAGTCGCAAGTGCAGAGGAATGACTCACTCACTGTTGATAACTTACCACATGCTGGACTGAATCATTCTTTGGATTGCGCTGCTGTTACTCATGATAAGGAATTCAATAGCGATGAAGGTACTGTACCGTACAAGACATGTAGATCTGCTTGCAGATTAAAGGATTTGTTGGAAGAGATCAGTGATTCTGAGTACTTTAGAGAGGCACGTAGCGGCTCAATGAAGAGAACAGAAAGAAGGTGTGAAGAAATTTACAGCAATTGTAATAAAGGGTTCTTGCCTGCAAGAGCCGGGGAAAGAAAATTACTGGTTTACCTTAAAAATGTAGCTCTGGAAGGTCAAGAGAAGGAGAGCAGCAAATGTAGCTTCTGTTCTAACTCTGTCCATGAGGGCTTGGCAAGGCGGTGTGAACATAAGCTTAAAAAGTCGTGCAAGAGGTCTAGTAGTAAATTAAGACATGAAGGACAGAAAAGTGAGAGACAATCCAGGGAAGAGGAGGGAAATGCTCACAAAATGAAGAAAAAGCGAAAAAAGCTTTCTTCTAATCTTTTATCTGATGAATGTGGCTTTTCAGAGACGGACAGTTGCGTGCAGCTGGAGTCGCTCAGAAAGATACAAAGAAAATGTAAGAAAATGTTCCACAACAAAGTGAAACTCAAGACACTTCACACCACCATGGCAGCACCAGATGTTACCCCTCATGATGGCTCACCGCTTCAGGAGACCCTCCAGAGGACAGGTGAGAAAGAGGGACACCACAACTAAGGTGACTGAATTTGACAGGTCTCTGGCAGGTGAGGTTAGTTGCCACAGTTCTTACAGTGATGAATGGTAAGTGTTTTTAAAAAGAGTTTTAAAAAGTATAAACGTGGCATAAAAAAAGCGTGCGACTTCTCTGCACTTAAAGGTTTGTTCACTTTAGCTCAGAAACACTACGCGCAGCTGCAGTTGAAGAGTAGTATTTGTCTACTTAATTGGATAGCAAAGTATCTGTCATGGGCATTAGCAGATAGGTGGCTATTTTGTTGATAACAACTCAACGTGCTTTAGACAACTAAAATGTTGTTAGGCAACTCAATGTGTGGTACATCTGGGTGGGAAGTACTGTCTGGAGTTAGTGAATTTCTATATAGGTAGTCATCTGATCTCCATACAGGACTGCTGCGTTTCTGGCTGTTGTTACTCACAGCTCTTTCACAATTTACTATGCTTTCAGTTTGTTGGTGGATACCTTACAGCTACCTCCCCGTACCCTGTCACTCCCTGCCCCCCAACAAACTCATTTCAAGTAACTTTTTCATATACTTATCTACAGGAGATGAGAGGAAATTAATGTTGAGAAGAGAGATGGATGCAGATGTCAGAGGATGCCCTCTATTTCCTCTTGAGATAATTCAGACAAACCCCTGCTCAGATACTTTCTGTGGAGCAGAGCCCAGAAGAGGATGCTGAACAGCTACTATATAATAGCTCTTAAGTTTTTATACAGAAGTGGGAGAAGAAAGCCCTTTGACCATTAAAAGGTATATGAAATACTGGGGTTTTTTTGCTTAGGTAATTCCTTCAGTTAGAATATCTAACTGGTGTAGCGAGCCACAAAACCAGAATCTGTGTTTGCCTTTCGGATAACAGAGGACCAAAACTTTCCCCAGGGCCAGACAAACTTTCATGGACCAGTTGCTAAGAATTTGAAAGGTTACAGATTGAGATCTCAAGAGTGTTATATTCTGATTAAATGCAGGGAACCATGTAAATATCAAAGTTACAGTATATAGTAATAATGAGTCATTGGGAAAAAAACATAGCTGTGTAAATCCTAGAGCAAGCACTTGAAGTGCCTCCTCGATCAGATTGTTAAAATGATGGGACTGGAAGGTGGGGGGGACATTTATACTCAATTGTGGGAAGTAACAGATTTCCAAATATGAAAAAAATCCTATCTTCTGTAAAACCCACACTGGAAAAATGCTTGTTTTCTATTTACAATTCTAGGGGTGTTTCTGAAAACTTGCTGGTCTTTGGGAGGATGGATTTCACTGAACTTGTGCTAGACGTAGTGCTTCTAGGAATCTGAATGATTGTCTAAGCGAAGCTCTGAATGTTAGATAGTGAAAGGGCAATGCTTGTCAGCGTGCTGACAGTCCCCATGTATAGGTTGAAAATTTGTTCACAAGACTTCAAAATGTGCCCTTTTGAAGGCACATGCAGTGAGATAGCTATTTAGTATGAGTTTGCTTACAAATAATTTCCAGAGGAATTGTCAAATGTTGTCAGATTTGTGCTGCATGTAGGTAAAAATGTGAAAACGCAGTCTAGGAGCTTGATTTATATCCGCATTTATTCAGCTGGCTATATTTAGAAGACGGCCACAATTGCTTTTGGACAAAGTCCCTTAGCGAGATCTAGAGGACCAGTTCTAAGTTCAATACACTGATTCTTTCAGCTTTCATTGTAGTATGCTTTATTTATTACATGTCAACATACTAAGTTAATGTGATGATGTTGCCTTCATTACATAGAATCTTACCCATGTTTGTAACTTCCGCTCTAATAAATAGTAATTAAAAAATAATAATTGTAATTGTTCATGGTAGATAGGTTTCCCCCCAGTGTTCAATACTGGCAATTCCTACAGGCTTCTAAGCCAGGTTTTATCAGTCTTCTCTGTTCATGTGTTCAGATGCTGAGTGCCTTTTCAGGGTCATGAATGACAAATGGTTGCTACTCAAAGTACTGTTAATCTATTACTTTTATCTAAAAAGATCTTATTTTCTTGACATAAATATTTTCTGACTATTTTGGAGAACGTTAATGCCCCTCTTAAGTCTCCTTTTTAGTATTTTATACAATTATAATGAAGATCAACTATTGTGTTCGTTGACCGTGTAAAATGTTTCAGTTGCACTGATATGACATACCAAGGGTGTTTTTTCTCTACGCAATATTTGCGGATTAAAGATGACAAAATTTCCCCCTCTGTCAAATCTATACAGTTCTGTGCGCGTAAGTACCCATTTCCCATGAGACAGGCCTTTCGATTACAGGTGAGGAAGCATTTCTTTTTGTTAATCTGGGGGAGCAGGAACTAAAGATTTCCTTTGGTGTAAATTTCCGGTGTTTTATCAACATGTTGTCACAATATTCAATAACAAATAAATACACCAGTTCTGTAATTGCTTCTTGCATTCACCTACATTGATTGAAATTGATAAAGCAAATTATCTATCTCCAAGTCCTTGCTCATGTAAAACATTGTTAGTAAATAAAGTACCTGTGCACTTTAAAATGTGAGACACCATTGTAACCTTCATACTGAAACACAACTTTTGAGCTTCCTATTTGTTTACAGATGGCACTACTAAGAACCTGTTTTCAGGTGTTTTAGTATTAATTCTTTACTTTTCCTACTGACCCACTTAATTTGAGCCCCATCCTTTCATATGCTGGACTGTTCAGTAGAATTTTGTTTATTACCCTGAAGGCTAATCTTTAAAGATACATATAACAGTTTGCTTTAAAACTTTTTAAGTCCATAGCTTTGTAGATTAAATTTTAATAGTTATAGGAATAAATGTCCCATCTCAAGTATGAAAGTTACAGAATGTTTAGACAATTAGAACATTTAATAGGTGAAAAGATGCATTAAAAGCAGCATTTATATAGTTCAGCAATGGAAGCATGTAATGCTGCTGGCATAATTTCACACCTTTCAGTTTGAGTCTGGCGTGTGCTGTTGTACTCAGCTGGTGTTTCAAGAGGTGTGGGGTTTTTTTTTTAATGGAAACCCTGTTTACTCTGACGTGTATGAAGCAGGGCCCTCAGACTGCAGATCTTGCCATCAAATCTGACTTTCCGTACAGAACTAATGAAAATGCCATCTAACAGAGCTCGTGAGAACAGAAGTCTTCTCAGGGAGCTGTCTGAACTAAGCTTGTTACAACCAACTGGCCAGGTATTCCTGGTACCTTGTGCTGAATGCTGAAGTCGAAACCCTACAGGCCGTTTTTAAAGCAGAAATACACAATGCCCGTTATTACCTCAGTCCGTCTGCTTGAAATACAAGAATACAGCAATTATGATATAAAGCCCTTTCTTCTTAATCCAGAGATTCCAGGCAATGCATAGAAACGCCTCACCTTTTGTAAAACCCCTTACGTAACTCTCGACATAAGCATTCATTACTGAACTGTTTTTTGTTTAACTGAAACAGCATAAGGAAGAGCTAAGAAAGATGATGAAAAGCAGGCAGAGTCCAGATAAAAGGATATCTGAATTTTACAAAGCAGTTGACAGTGTGCCAGAACTGGTGTGAAATGAGATGCTACTCGATTGTTTTGATTCGTCCTAGAGCTCCCCACGTATGCCTTTGTGACACACAAGTAACGGGTGTTTGGACGTGTCGGATGAGGGAGATCGCCGACAGTCTCTGCTCTTAGTTGGTCACCCTGTCCTACCTGGTTAATGTACAGTCTGTTAAGCTACCTGGCATGGGTTTTTTTGCTTAGTCATTGCAGCCAGTCGCTGTTGAAGGAAGGGATCAAGTTGCAATGAACAGAGAGTAAAAAAGAAGCTAAAACCCATCTATTTTCTCCAGCACTTTAGAAGAAAATAAAAGCCGTGCCTGCTGCTTCATGAAACCACTGCTTTTGTGACTCACTTCTTCCTTTCTCAATAAATTATCTTTGTGTTCTCTGGAAAAGTAGTGGTCTTACCAAAGTGTAATACTTCCTTCCCAAGAAGCACGGATGCTGAACGTTAAGCTTTGTCTTGTGTTACTGCCAGTTTTCTGGGTAGTTTTTATTTTTTACTATTCTTCATTGTGATGCATCATGTTGTAATGTACAGATTAATACTTAAAATAGTGTTCAGTTCCTCAGGATATGTTATGGACTAACTTAAGAGTCAGATGGTTGGATCCACTGAAGGGTAGGTTACACTGAAGGGTAGCCTAGTTCCATGACATGACAGCCTTCCAAAGCTCCAGCTTTTGCTCAGTGTTAACAATTACTTGGACCTCTTTATGCCTAACTGTTTTTGCAACAGCAAAGCATATTCTACAACATGAACGTGTCCTATATTTAATATTCTGTTATACTACAGAACCACATTTACAGGCAGTCAGCTAGAACACATTATACTCAATCTATGCGTTGGATAATGTAAGATACTGGAGAAAGACAACATAAAACTCAAAACACTGGGGGAGGATTAAGTATCACATTTAGTTGCAGTAAATAAAAACAAACGCCACCATTATGCAAGAGTATTGTATTTTCTGTGTTAAACAAATAAAAGCACACTTCCAATTTGAGGTAAACCATTAGTAGTAATTTGCAAAGAGTATAAATGTCTCTAAAAATAAAATAGCAACACAGAGGTCATGACAAGATTTACATTTGTCTCTAGACCTTCATTAGGTAGGTCATACAGTACCACTTTACGCAAGCTATCTGGCTCAAACAGCCGCACTCTTCATTTGAAGGCCCAGTGTAACCAAAAGAAAATGCCATGAAAGCGTTAGGACTGAGGGGAAGTCATTCCTTCTCACCACAGATGGTCTCAGGCACTTTAACATGTTGTGTCAACTTGTTTATGAGAGCTGCTGTTGTGCAATGCACTCTACTTCCAAACAATTTTGCCTAGTTTACACCTTCCCCACTCAGGACTCAGTTCATCATTTTGGCCACGTTGCCAAACTGAAACAACTCGGCTGAACAGCCGAACCAGAGAAACTAAATACAGGGAACTATACCAGGCAGGCACCCAAGCAGAATCACCTGGACAAGAAACATCAGCAAATCATTAGCTATCTCCTTGGAATTTCTGAGAAAGTTTTGCAGAAGCATTTTGGATGATGAAGGAGCGCATTTACATTTTTCCTTGGTCAAATCCATTTACCCAGCCCCCTCTGGTAGGAGACTAGGTTACGTAGTCAGAACAAACCTAGTAATTAAGCATAGATGTGAGCTAAGAGAGCAAATAAGTAAAAAGCAATTCAAAGGTCAGGTCCCCTATGTATAGTGTTGCTGGTTATGCACGAGATGATTGTGCCGTTTCTTTTAATGGCAACGTTCCAAAGCAACAAAGGCCTCAACACAGAAACGGCTTACACCATGTTATTTTTTTCTGTACAGGAAACGTGTAAATTACATTGACCAGTAACATTTTCCTCCTAGTTAAACCTGCGTGTACAAGAGCATTTGTTAATCATGCCGTACCAGCAAGTCTTTTTTAGGCCTAGGAATCAATAGCAGCTGATCTTCCCTGTTTAATATAATTTCATTAAAATTCACAGAATAGTTTTACTAAGAGGAAAAGCGAGTGAACAGTAGTCCAATCGAGTCACACTTCATGGTGTACCTGGTTTTTAGGGATGCCTAGTTACACTCAGTATCTAAACCTTTGTAACATTTCAGATGTGCTTTATAAAAGTAAACAAAGAATATTAATCCACGCATAATTATGCATGACTGAATACATCAAGTATTCATCAGTCCTTATTAGTTTTGTAATTATCTAAAAGTGATTTAACCTCCTAAAAATTCTTACCTTTTTTTAAAGCAGTTAAGCGTTTCATCTGTAAGCCGCTACGTAACTCCTTAAAAGCCAAATTATCTTACATAATATTGAATTACACTGCACCACAAATGAGCACGATGCTTCATGGACAAATAAAATACAGTCCCTTTTCTAAAGGAATTAGAACCCAAGTCCCAGATCCTGCAGAAGCTAACACAAAACAAGATTTAGTGGAATTTGTGTTGCATATGTGAAGTTATTCTTGTGCTTGTGTCCACAGTGCTAGGTTGTTAATGAAAAACTGGATTTCAACCTACTCTGCACTAAATAGTGATAGAAGGAAAACAGTAATAGTCCTTTATTGCCAAAATTGCAGCTTACTTCAGCACAGACATTTTTCGTGCATACTTCAGATTATGCAGTTTTAAAGGAAGACGGATCTTAGACCTTTAGTAGTTTACCACTGAATTTGAAAAGGAAACCTTTGAAAAGAAACAATTCACTGTAACTGTGGACCTTTTGTAAGCATTGCTGCTCTTGCAAGTGGAATGTTACAAATGATCCTTTACGATTCAAAAACAGATGGCTCCTCACTGCACTCTCTAGTCTTTCTTTGCATCCTGGGCATCTTTTTCTTCTTCTTCAGAGTATACAGTGGGTTCCTCCCCTTCCTTCAGCAGCTTACCAACATAGTGATACTTAACTGGGAAAAAAAATAAGAATCCAAGTCATTATTCTGCCCTGAAGATGTACCTTTTGTAACTCCTATGTCTGTTTCTTAAATTAACAAAATGCCTCTATTATAATAAAACAGCTCTCAGCAACTTATTCCAAACACTGGGGGGGAGGAGAAAAGCCGAAATCAACTACCTGAACTACTATTAATGTTGTAGTAAGTATAAGAAACATGCAAAGTGAATGTAACTGTAATTCTCCCTCCTATTGCCTAAGCCAAAAGATGAATGAATGTAAAGACACGTAAACTGAGGGACTTACCCAGCTAAAGAAACAGAATCCTGGATCAGATTATTTTTCTTGCCAATGTCAAAGCTAGTTTTTCAACCAATGGCACTGTTAGAATATTTACATTATGTATAATACATGGATGCACATACATATGTGCACACATGTACACAACTTTCAAGGGTTTTTATTTTTGATAATATCTTGAAAATATCTAATAAGACAGAAGAGAGATCCTTTCTCCCGAAGATAAAGACGGATCTGTTATCCAGTCATGCAGCTATGCCTCTGCCTTATTTTATATCTCTTTTTGAACATGTAAAAACGCCAAGATCATATACAAGAACTGAGAGCTATGCTATGTTGCCCATCTGCCAACTTCAACAAAGAAAAGATGCCTCTGACTACAGGTATTTCGGACTAGCACTGTTGTTACAATTAGTAAGAATTTAAAGCAACTAATTGCCGAATTTACTAGAAACATAGTAATAAAAAGAGTGCAGTTCACTGTCAGTCCCGATGCCCGACTCTTGAGAAGGTAGATTTAAACACTAGTTTAGGTCAAATATTTGGTAGCGTAGTTCTGGTTTCTGCAACATACTTGTTAGCATAATAAAACAGCCATTCAGTGTGGCATGATTAACAGACTTGATTAAGACAGGAAGAGCGCCAAAATAGTAGGGGCACATCAGGTCAGGACTGAGATGACAGTATGTGGAGGAAAGCTCCATTCTAGCTAGTGGTAGTAAATCTTTAATACCTAACATTAGATTTTCACTATACTACTTTTTTGTATATGCAATTTCTATCTCATATATATATATATTTAAAAATTCATCAAGACAAACAACTGATACATTTATTTTTTGTCTTATCTGAGTAGAAATAATCCCTTTGGTGTTCACTTGCCTAAAAGGCAGCATGAGATATGGAGGAATTATTTTTCATCAACAAGATACAGAATAGGAGAAAAAAAAAATCATACCAGTGGGCATGCCCTGGTACAAGGTCAGCACAGCAATTTCCATAAAACTGTGGTTTGAAGTTCTCCTTTTTGAGCAGCAAGTTGAGGCACACGACAAAAAACAGTTGGAATTGCCTTTTTTAAACTTCTAATACTAAGCATTCAAAAACAAGGCAACTGTGAAAGTGACTTCCTTCTGTTAATTTTAGAACAAACATCTCAAGCGTGCAAGTTGCCTTTTTTCCTCTGCCACTCTGGCCATCACTGGCACGGTAACGACCAGGCTGCTTCCAAGCACAGAGGTGGCATTTGCCCATTCCTGACCACCACCTGGGGGAGAAAGTCAGCTAGATACAGTTGCCTGTGAATCTGATAAAGCCACCAGCAAGGCCATGCTGAATAACTTACTTAGAGTAAAAAAAGTTGTATCAAGAGCTCCAAGGGGAAAAGGCCTAGTTTAAACAGTCTTCAAAACTCAAAAAACCCAGGAAGTAATAATTCAAATGTTACTCTTACTTCTGAGAAGCTGAATGGGACATAAGCTTCATTTTTCAGAGCATTAAAACCTAATCGTCTCTATAGATGGGGTCTTAACTGTATCAAAAACATGCTCTGAATTTCCAGTTCCTGTGGTCTTACAGATCTTATCCTATGACAGAGTGCTTCCATCTCTCCTACTGTTCTGTAAGGAGCAGAGGGAGGGAGAACGCAGAAGGAAAACCTGATGTTTCTCTGAATTCTTTTGAGTAACAGTAATTCTAGTAATAGTTAGTAAACTGAGGTATTAACTCAAAGTAAGTTTCCAGACTGATGCTTCCAGCTGGTAACAGCCTATTAACCATTGCTTCCCTTATTACACACTAGTTAGCTACTTCTTTGTAAATAGGTTTAAAATTGCTTACAAGTGAACTGTGACTCCCAGTCCCTCAAGGTCTCTTGCTGTGTATCGTTGAGATCAGAGAGGTCATCATAGTCATCCCTCAGAGCCTCCTTATCCAGGCAGAAAGTGGCAAGACCTCGGGATGCATCTCTTCCAGCAAAAATCCCATATGGGCCCTCTTCAAAATAAAAACATAAGCAGCATTATTACAGAGGTAATGGATGCTGTATGATCTTCACGGATCAGAGTCCTCAAACTGAAACAGATGATGAGTTCCTACCCTGACCTGTGGGTCAGAGGTGCCTCAAACTTCTGAAATGTTTTTACGTTTTATTCCACTTGGTAATAAGGGAAAACAGAAGAAGAGGACAGGAAACAAAACCATGGGAAGAAATACTGAGTTTGCTGAAACATCAGGACAATGAACCACACAACGGTGCATGGAACATGCAAACAGGGTAAGAATAAGCATACAAACTGGGAAGAACATCCTCAGAAAGAGGAACAGAGGAAGGATTTGTAAGTCTGAGGTGAAATGGAAATTTTCTGAGATGCTCCTGACTTAAAAGAGCTGAAAGGATGACTTGACAGAAAATGTGGTGGAGATACCCAAAATTACCAACTTGGAGGAAACATCTATTAAAACTTTCAAAATGCAAGATGAACTCAAATGATCAAAACATGCAACTCAAAGTAGATCAGAGATATCAAGACAGACTCTTGCTAGCCTTCATTAATGATTAACTTGCTTGCATGACAAGCCGAAAATGGAGATATCACATGTTGCAACTAGACATTGGAAGTTCTTAAGGGGGCTTAAAGAAGTTAGACGTGACCTCTGGTTACTGTAGAGAGCATGCCATCTTCCATACCTCCCAGAGTGAGCTTTTTCCTAAATTCATCAAAAGAATCTTACTTTTCCATTAAAATGAAAACCAAACTAGCCAGACACTATGATGAACCATTCAGCAATTATCAAATTAGATACAATGGGCAGCTTTCACTGTTGTCAAGGAAGGTAGCATCCAAAGCATGGTCCTTAAGTCAAGCGGGTTTTAGTTTGCACAAATACAAAACTGCACATCTAACTCAGCTGTACATATCATCTTGACTGCTGCAGAATGCAAAGTTACAGTCCAGCACCATTCAGCGACGGTCTCGACTCTATGTTTGGACCAAAAGTAATAATCTCATCATGCTTCCAAATACATGGTGTCTCCTGCACTGTTGTCTTTGTCTCTGAGTAGCACTGACAGCTCATTACTGCAGCTACCAGCTGTCTGGACACCTCAAGAGTGGTTATGCCAGACATCCTAGTACAAATTAGGAAGCCTCAGCAAGGCTTTTTAACAGGAGGCCTCTGTTAAAAATAAAAACCCATGCCCTAGTGGAGGTAATTAAACTCTTACACCTGGGTGCACACACTCCCACTCACCTCATCACTAGCTGCTCTATAAGCCTCTGCATAGCTTACTCAATCTTTGCACGTTTGAACTGCCTACACTCCTGATAGGAAGCTGGTTTAATCTAAATTGCTAAGTATTTAGTATAAATATTATGCAATAGAGTGATGTCCGCTAAAGTTGGGAATGGAATGTAAACACTGATAGCACACTTCGCTTCTGCTGCCTGGCATCAGGCAAAGGCACCCGCGGCCAGCGAAGCCACCCAGCCCAACAGCGGCACAACCCCTCACGGTACTTGCAGTACGTGTAACCTGCCCTGGGAAAACAAAGAGGAAGATGAAGCAACGCAGGCTGGCAAAGCCGGCGTTCTTACAACATCGAGGCCCGACTCTGGAGCCCGGGCAACAGCGGTAATCCTGCCCTCCGCCTCATCCGGGCAGGCGGGTCTCCCAGCGCCGCCCGTTGCGCGATCTTGCCGCAGGCCGAGCTGCGCACACCCTTCCCAGCTCTAAGCAAGCCGAATCCTTTCCAAACCTCCGGATCGTGAGCAGGGGCGAGAGGGCACGAGCAGCTTAGCCGAGCGTTTGTGCCGCAGGCCAGGAGGCGGGTGAGGCATTAACGCGGAGCACGCCGATCCC